GATTCTGGGGCTTCGTCTGACATACTTTGGACATGTTGTAAGGAGAGACAGGTCCTTGGAGAGGGACATCATGCTTGCTAGGGTAGAGGGACAGCTCAGGAGGGGAAGAGCCTCTATGAGTGGATTGATTCAGTGACTGGGGTAATCGGGATGGATGTGTCAGAGGCAATGCGATTGGCACAGGATAGAGCAGGGTTTACTGTTGTACATAGGGTCTCTCTGAGTCGCAAATGACTCGAGGGCACATAACAACAACAACAACAACAACCATTATATGAGCCTGGAAGCAGGAGTGGCATCCACCTCTGGAATGGCTTGACTCCAGAAACCCTATGAACAGTGCTCAGGCCTTTAGTTCATAGGGTCGCTATGAGTCGTCTACGACTCAACGGCACCGAAACAACAACAACAACCATTATATGTAAATACTTTGCTTACAGAAAATTTAAAATTAATTTTGTGGTATTTTCTATTTTGTGTTATGAAGTTGTATGATATTATGTAGTTTGTATGATGTTTGCTAGTTTATAATAGAGTTATGAATAGGGTCACATAGCTTCTGAAACTTGGTAGACATTGTCCCTTGATTTACTTAGATGGTTTGTTCAATGTAGACTAAAACTTTGATAACCAGTATTTTCTTCCTTTAGACAGTCATCATTGGTTAGCAAAGAAGGGTTCTCTCTGTATAAGCATATAGCTCAGCAGGGAATCATTGCTAAGACATACTTATAAATATTAATAAATATCTTGAGTCTTGTTAAATTTACTTTTCAAGTATGTAACACTTAGAAGGCAGTTAGTCCTCGTTGACTTTTCCTCATCATTGTAATTTTATAAGAGGCTTTTAAGTGAATGGGGGGAAATATATTATGAAATGTGTAAAATTATGGACTTTATTATAAAAGATTTAGAATTACTAGAGAAAAATATTAGAACTAAAAAATATAAAACACTTTTAAAAAATAGTAAATATGCAGTAGAAGTGATTAGTGAAAAGAAAATATTGATGAGCCAGTTGTGTACATGTTAATTTTTAAAAGGGCTTAGGAACCTTTTCCCTGATTATAAAGATTAAAATTTAATCATGGTCTGTTAATTTTTTTGAAAATGAGAGTATGCCACTAGTTGTTATCTTTACCACTATACTACCATTGTGCAACATAAATTTTACTACTTCAGAGATGTATATTTAATGAATTGATAAGAGTTATTTTAAACATATGTATATAAATTTACAAACAGTTGAATAATGATATGCCAAGAATGAGAATGAACCAAGGAATGACATGAGTCTTGAAAACTAAGGAGGCTTATATGAAGTAGTAAAAGTTTCCTATATCAGATATCAAT